GGCTGCGGAGTTCTCTAGTTATGCGCGAACACACAAATTCGGCTGAACAACTTTATATATATAGATATAGTGTATGCAGCCCAATACAATGCAATACAATACAATGCAGGGTGCGAAATTAACGCGAGTCCGGTTCGAGTCAAATACTCCCTGATTTACTGTCGGACTCCCTGATTTGACATATGCAGGAGCCCGTGTGACTCCCTGAAAATTAATTCTGCTATACAGTACTAACTAGTTTATTCCAGAGCACGGCCTCGCGGAATTACCGTATTTTTTCCAGCGAAAAGTTGTTCTAAGAAAATTTGTCAGACGTGCACCGCAAATGTCCTCTAATGTGCATAATATATATGTACGTATATGTATATACTAGCTGGGCTACCCGGCGATGCCCGGGATTTTTTGGGGGTTACTGCTTTTCTGCTATTTCATGCGTTTAGCTGGGCTACCCGGCGATGCCCGGGATTTTTTGGGGGTTACTGCTTTTCTGCTATTTCATGCGTTTTCTGCTATTGCTTGCGTTTCGGCATTTCATGCGATTGCCTGATTTTAAGCCTGACTATAGTTGGGCGCTATATGATTGCTATTTACTTTTCTGCTGCGCTAGGATTCGTCTTGACTTTTCTGCTGCAGTGTATAGTGGAGCGCTAGGATTGCTGTGATTGTTAACTTTTCTGCTGCGCTAGTACTTTTTTGGGGGAAATGTGTTGTTTGTTTTTTTGCCCTTATTTTGGCCTTTTTGTGCAAATTATTTTTGGCCTAAAATAGTCGTCACGTCATGCTGATTGAGAATATACCTCACGGGTGACCCCCTGGCAATGCCCCTGGCGATGCAAATTGTTTTTGGGCCTAAAATGGTTGTCGCGTCATGCTGATACATGCGTCTAAACAGAGGAATTGCTCCGACCTGTGATTGAATAATAAAAACCCCGGCGACTTCCGCTATTATGCTATGACCGGTAGGAACGTGTACTAACTATAATATGGAGCGAAGGATTTCAGTTAGAAT